ATGCAAGTACAAGTGATATCTGCACTTTTTATATGAAAATTTGCTAATGGAAGTGCAAAAAATTTAAAAAGCAAATTACTTAAATACTAGTATTAAAAAAGTGATAATAGTGAGAATTTATGTAAACATATCTGTTTCTTAGCATCCTCGTAAAGTTTCATGAGAAAATTCGTTATAGTTTTGCTAAAACACACACATGTCGATGTACACTGAAGTAAACCCCTAAATAGCAGTATGAAATGAAGCCATTCTCATTAGACTTACATGGAATTCCTTTCGTATTAGTTCTAGATATTGCGTTGAACTTCTATTTGTTTTAAAATCTTTGTACCGCTTGCTTTGCTCTTGTTGTAATTCCACAACATTCCTCTGTGTCGTTATTTTCTTATTGCCAGTACTATGCAACTGATTCTATAAGTATTTTCATTTTTCATTGGAACACACTTTCGTTCGCTCAAACAGAGCAGCCTCCACGGCTAACCCCAGTCCACCTGACCAGCTCAACACACACACCACAGCACCACAACATAACAATACAATAGACCACACCACAACCACTACAGACCACATAACAGACACAACCGCACCACCACCCACACGCCGCCGCCAACAACTCCTGGTTCCTCCTACAGTCTGCACGGTATGTCAGACCAGGATATTCCGTAATGTGACCTCAGTCAAGTGCAACACCTGCCTTGGCTGGTGCCACTTTAGGGCATGTTCAGGTCTGCGCACCATGCGAGATTGGACGAGGAACTTCGAGGGCCCATGTTGCGCTGCTCAGTCGGATACCCCAAATTCGACGCCACCCCCTCCACCACAGGGCGGCAACCTCCACAGCGGCGCACACAGCCAATGGCGGCAAGGCCACACAAATCTCTCAAACCCCGTATAACTACACGTCTCCAGATCCACGTGAAGCTCCTTCAATTCAACTGCAACGGACTTCAGAGCAAGATCGAGGAGATAATCGTCTTCATGGGAAGGCATGGTATATTGATAGCTGCGGTTCAAGAGATGAAATTGCACAGCAATTCAACATTGTTGAGTTGTGCCGGGTACAACGTGCACCGTCGAGATCGCGAGCGAGATAATGGTGCTGGCTTAGCGTTCATCACGCTCCACACCGTGCAGTAGCGTCTTATTGAAGCAGACATCGACCGCAGGGATACCACCCTAGAATGTCAGGGCATTGCTATCCGGTCAGGCGATGTTGAGCTCGAAATATTTAATGTGTACATACCCCCTGTCACCTGCTGCCCGGCAGGATATCACCCTGACATAGGTGCGCTCCTCAGAGGTGAAAACCGTATGGTAGTAGGTGACTCAAGCCTGTCAAACGATCGTAGGGGAACTGACTTGGCTGGGCAGATAGACGATTCGACATTCTGCACAATGAACGACGACGCACCCACCAGGATTATGGGCAGCTGCTGCAGCTCGGAAGACATAACAATAGTCAGCGCTGGTCTGATAAACAGCGTATCATGGCGACCTATGCTGACTTTGTCATCAAACCATCTGCCCATAGTCATCTCGATCAATAAACCAACCGACTTTGCTTCCGCGGAACACCGGACCTATATCAACTTTTATAAAGCTGATTGGAATGGCGTCGCAGAATTTACTGAGAGCACCTTCGATGCGCTCCGCACACCAACCGACGTCCACCTTGGCGAAAGTAAGTTCGGCAGGGTTGTCACTGCTGCTGGAGCTCGCTTCGTACCGGCAGGATGCATAACGGACCCACGTCCAAATTTCCCTGCTGATGCGGCTGTTCTAGCCGACGAGCGTAACAGCCTTCGTCAGGCCGATCCCGGAGATCCCCGTATCAGACATTCCCACGACAGCCGGTTCTACCTACCGGAATGAGTCGGGTTCTACCCGACCAAGGGCTTTTGCTTCGGCGACCTAACCCCGCTTAGATCCGCGATACCCCTCAATCATTGTTCGTACATGGAGCAACTCCTTGCAGCCGGATTGCTCTGCATCCTTCTTCTCCGGCCGGGCGTAGAGCCCAACCCCGGACCAGAAACGTATTTCTGCTGTGTTTGCCAGAATCGACTCCATCCAAACTCCACTTCGGTTAGATGCAATTCATGCAACGGATGGAGTCACCTAAGAACCTGCTGTGGTCTTAGGTCTCATCGGGAGTGGACCACAAGCTATGTGGCTCCCTACTGCTCAAGCCAAACGGCACAATCAGCCTCCACGGCTACCCGCTCGCGCAACGCACCCAACACCCGAAGAGCCTGCACGCCTCCAAGAAGCTTCTCTGGGCAGCAGCAAACCTCCCAACCAAGATAGTAGTCTTTATGGGTCGCCATGGCATATTGATAGCTGCGGTCCAAGAAACGAAGTAGCACAGCAACTCAACTCTATTGGGTTGCGCCGCCTACAATGTGCTCCGTAAAGATCGCGAGCGAGATAATGGTGGCGGACTTGCGTTCATCCTACACCACACAGTGCAGTATCGGCTTATCGAAGAAGACATCGACCCGAGGGACACCACCGTAGAATGTCAGGGCATAGCTGTCCGGTCAAGCGATGTCGAGCTCGAAATATTCAACGTTTATATACCCCCCGTCACCTGCTGCCCGGCAGGATATCACCCTGACATAGGTGCGCTCCTCAGAGGTGAAATCCGTATGGTAGTAGGTGACTTTAATGCGTACCACGCTCTTTGGCACTCAAGCCTGACAAACGAGCGTAGAGGAACTGACTTGGTTGGGCAGATAGACGATTCGACATTCTGCACCATGAACGACGACGCCCCCACCAGGATTATGAGTAGCTGCAGCATCTCGCCAGACCTCACAATTGCTAGCGCTGGTTTGATCAATAGCATTTCATGGCGACCTATGCTAACACTAGCATCAGACCATCTACCCATAATCTTCTCGATCAATAAGCCCACCGACTTTGCACCCGCGGACTACCGAATCTACACCAACTACAACAAAGCTGATTGGGACGGCTTCGCGGAAGTCACCGAGAGCAGCTTCGCCGCCCTTCCCACACCTACAAACATACATACTGGCCAACGCCAGTTCCTGAGGGTAGTCACTGCCGCAGCGGCTCGCTTCATCCCGTCCGGACGTATCGCGGAAGTCCGCCCAAATTTCCCGGCCGAAGCAGTTTTACTAGCAAATGAGCGTGACCACCTACGCCAGGTCGACCCCGAGGACCCCCGTCTGAGGGACCTTAACTTGGAGATTCGGCAACTGGTAAAACAGCATAAGCGGAAAAAGTGGGAGGAGCACTTGAAGGCCTGTAACTTCACATCTGGTGTGAGTAAGCTCTGGTCAACCGTGAGGTCCCTGTCCAACCCAACGATGCGTGATGACAGAGTGGAAATCTCTTTCGAAGGTGGCACTTCGTCGGACCCGAAGAAATGCGCAGCCTACTTCAGTAGGCAATTCACACTGCACCCTTCGGTAGACAGGGCCAAACGTCGAGTGACCAGGAGTTTGCACAAAACAGTGCATCACTTGTTTTCACCAGCTGTGAAGTGAAGGGGGCCATCAGGAAGGCGAAACCCTCCAAAGCCATTGGACCCGACGGAATCTGTATGCTGATGCTAAAACATTTAGGGCCTAATGGAATAGCTTACCTAACGATGGTCCTCAACCTCTCCATGGCCACTCTCATCATTCCTGATGTGTGGAAATCAGGGAGAGAGAGAAGACATCGAGGCCTCCTCACTCCCACAGGGACTGAAGCGATGTTCGACGAATTATATGAGTGGTCGACAGTCGATAGTCGTCAGTAATCTTCAGAGATCAAACCTCGAAACCAAGAAGGATTAAACAAGGGGTTCCACAAGGTGGTGTTCTCTCCCCCTTACTATTTAACTTCTGCATCTCGAAGCTTCCTCAACCACCTGAGGGAGTTTCCCTGATCTCATACGCTGACGACTGCTCGATTTTGGCGTCCGGGAATGGAATTGATGACCTCTGCTCAAGAGTGAACGACTATCTCTCCAGCCTTTCTCGCTTCTTCACTGCAAGGAGCCTAACACTCTCCCCAACGAAATCAACGCCGAGCCTCTTCGCCACCTGGACGAAGGAGGTCTGGCTAGAGTTAGGCATACACGTCGATGGCACACCAATACCGACTGTAAACAACTGTATGCTGCGCCAGTTTGGACGACGGGGACTAGTTGGACGCAGTGGACGAAGCTACAGACTTGTCAGAACGCCGCACTCCGGACAGCGACTGGTTGCCTTCTGATGACGCCTGAGCACCACCTACACAGCGATGCCCAAGTACTCCCCGTAAGGGAACACAACAAAATGCTTTGTAAGCAATTTCTGGTGGGGTGTCATAGAAGTGAACACCCTAACAGACCTTTGCTTCAGGAGGAGCCTCCGCCCACGCACGTCAGGGCCCACCTATTCGTGTACAAGGACACAGTCCAACAGTACGTAGACCAACCACTGGACCCGACGACATTCCCACGACAGTCGGGTCTACGTAACCGGAACGACCCGATAGATATATATCTGGCCAAGGACTGCCACCACTCCAGCAACACTCCCCAAAATCTCTTTGGGGAATTTGTATCCTGTTACAACAACAACAACAACAACGACATACAGACGAGCCATCAACGACATTCATAGAGAGTCAGTCACCATGTAGTTTTATTTAAATTATTTATTAAAAATTTAAAAACCATTAGTTTCAAATGTGAAAGACAGAATGAAGAAAATTTTATTTTCCAAAAGAACAATATTCCAAAGAACATCATTTAATAATAGGCATGTTTTATTCAACCATCACAAGCAAATAGCTAAATCTCGGTCAAATAAAACGAAATTAGCTTATTTCCTATGTTAGCCTAATTTTGGCAGTCGTTTGACTGCAAATAGTGTCAAAGTAAGTTTTTGCCTCTTTCTGATTGGCTGAAGGAGAAAATTTCTGATGCTGAATGGCAATGTCTCTTGTTCAGTATACAAGCCAAGATAACTTTATATAAGCCAATATAATTATGTTGGGTAAGTCCTCCATACAAAATAAGCTAACAGCTTAAATTTCTGCACAAATAAAACACGCCTAACAAACAAGTATTCCAAGAATAAAGTATATACATACATAACATCAAATAAAAACCCCCACAAATACTCCCCCTCACAAATTATTTAAAACTATTTAAATTAATCAAAGTAAAGAAAAAGTAACTCGTTTCTTCTGTCTTGCATGTGTATTTGTGTTCTGTATTGTGCTTTGATCTATATATGCAGGTTTGATTCGGTCAATTGCTATATTTTCTGATTCACCATTTCTAAGAATTTTAAAAAAACTTCGAATTTTTCTCAATGACTTCAAAAGGTCCTTCATAAGGACAATTTAAACCCGATTTAAGTTTAATAGTTCGAACTAGAACATATTTACATGTTTTTAATTCA